AAATTAAATTATTTTAATTAAATAATTAAAATTATGTTTTGACTTAATCACTCAATGATTCAAATTAATATAGTTTTTTATTTTAATATCATTCATTCTTTCGTAAATAAATACATAAAAATTAAGTTCGGATTTTTTCAAAAACCGATATTCTCATCAATATTAAATAAAACAAAATTTGTTCACTTCTATGCAAGCTTTTAATAATTTTTATTTATGTTTTTTGATACAATCTTATGAAATACTAAAATTTTTTTAAAAACATTATTTAATTTTCTTTTTAGTTACTAATCTATGGATTAATAAGAATAAATCTTTTTTCTAAAGGAAAAATTATGAAAAACACAAATAAGAAATACTTAAATACAAAATTTTTTATTAAAAAATTATAAATAATTTTTTTCACTTTTGATTACATATATTTTTATAGATTCACACCATAAAAAAAAATATCAAACTGAAATGATTTTTTTAAACTATTTTATATATTTTATCCAAACCGTAATGTAGTGCGAGCAAAAAAATTAGCAAAACACACTAAAACAAAATGATTATTTACTATTCATAATACTATTCACATACTCACAAATCATTATTTCTTTCACTATTCATAGCATTTTGTAACACTTTAACAATCAATTTTTCTATATTGTTTTTTTCAATTTCAAACTTTTATTGTATTTTGATTTAGTCCTACTTTGTTTTAGTGTTTTTCGTGAATTATTTTTATTATTTAAGATTTACTACTTTAACTTTTTTTTTCAATTTCAAACTTTAGTTATATTGTGATTTGGTCCTATTTTGTTTTAGTGTTTTTTGTTAATTATTTTTATTACTTAAAATTTACTACTTTAATTTGCCATTTTTTAAAATTTTCATCCAATTAATTTAAAATTATATGGTCCTCAAATTTTCTATATCTTTTTTTTTCAATTTCAAATTTTAATTGTATTGATATTTGACCGCATTTTGTTTTAGTATTTTTTTGTTAATTCTTTAGATTATTTAAAATTTACTACTTTAATTTGTCATTTTTTTAAATTCTCATCCAATTAATTGAAAATTATATTTACTGGTATTTTTTATTTATTTCTCTATATGTATAGATTTTGGAATAAATTTTTAGAATATGATTATTTTTTCTTTTGAAAAATAGATTTAAATAATTTTAAAACTATAGTAGCATGATTAATAAATATAATTGTTTTGAAATACAATTTTTGGTCCCATTTCTTGTTAGTGTTTTTTGTTAATTATTTTTATTATTTAAGATTTACTACTTTAATTTGTCATTTGTTTTAAAATTCTTATTTTTATTTCAAATTTTAATTACATTGTTATTTGGTTCCATTTTTTTTTTTTTTTTGCTATTTTTTGTTAATTATTTTTGTTATATAAGATTTACTACTTTAATTTATCATTTTGTTTTAAATTCTCATCCAATTAATTTAAAATTAGTTGATCCTCAATTTTTTTATACATTTGTTTTCCAATTTCAAACTTTAATTATATTATAATTTGATCCCATTTTTTAAAAAAATTTTTGTTAATTATTTTTATTATTTAAAATTTACTACTTTAATTTTTCTTTTTTCTTTTTAAATTCTCATCAAATTAATTTAAAATTACATTACTCGATGCTTTTGATTTATTTTTCGATATGTATGGATTTTAGAATAAATTTTTAGAACATGATTTTTTTAAAAACAAAATAGATTTAGATAATTTTTAAATTATAGTGGCATCATTAATATATATAATTTTTCTTAAATACATTTTTAGTCCTCAATTTTTCTATGCTTTTTTTTTCAATTTTAAAATTGAATTATATTATGATTTGATCCCATTTTGTTCTAGTGTTTTTTCTTAATTATTTTTATTAATTAAAATTTACTACTTTAATTTGTTATTTTTTTTAAATTCTCATCCCATTAATTTAAAATTATATGGTACTCAATATTTCTATTTTTCTTTTTCAATTTCAAACTTTAATTGTATTATAATTTGGTACTATTTTATTTTAATAATTTTTTTAATAATTTATTATTTAAAATTTACTACTTTAATTTGTTATTTTTTAAAAACTTCTCATCCAATTAATTTAAAATTATATTTACTGATAATTTTGATTTATTTTTATATATGTATGGATTTTAGAATAAATTTTTAGAACATGATTATTTTCATTTTTGGAAGATAGATTTAGATAATTTTTAAATTATAGTAGCATGATTAATATATATAATTTGTCCAAAATACATTTTTAGATTAAAAGTGTATTTCAAATAATTTTTTCTTTGTTTGTGTTGGAAAATAACTCAAATTAGTTAATTAATAGTTGAAAGTCAAATGAGAAAAATAAAAAGATGGATGTTCTACAGCGTGAGGCCTATATTCAAGGACTAGCCATGCATAGCATAGAAATAAAAAATATATATTTAAGGAGGAAAAAAAATAATTCACATGTTTTTTAACTTTTTTCTTCTTTATGTAATCAAAATTAATCAAAATCAAATTTTTAATAATTTTTATTTTAGTCTATTAACTTCAAATTTAGTCAATAGATTCCTTACAAGTTATTTTTTTTTTATAGTATTTTTTGTTTTGGACTAAAAACTCTAAACTCACTTAGTATAGTTATGATATATAAAAACAAAAGTATATAATCGTTTTTGTTTAGAAATTAGCTATGCAAATACTACTACACTAAGCATTTACTATTTATTTATTTATTTTTGAATATTTTAAAATTAACTTATTTTAAATTAAATAATTAAAATTATGTTTTGGCTTAACCACTCAATAATTCAAATCAATATAGTTTTTTATTTTAATATTATTGATTTTTTTGTAAATAAATATATAAAAATTAAATTGGCTTTTTTTCAAAAACCAATATTCTCATCAATATTAAATAAAAATAAAAAAATTATTTGTTCAATTCTATGTAAGCTTTTAATAATTATTTTTTTTTACGCAACCTTATGAAATACTAAAAAAATTTTAAAAATTTTTATTTAATTTCCTTTTTAGTTAATAATCCATGGATTAAGGATAAATAATTTTTCTAAAGAAAAAAATTATGAGAAATAGAAATAAGAAATAGTTAAATATACATTTTTTTATTAAAAAATTATAAATAATTTTTTTCATCTTTGTTTTCATATATTTTTATAGATTCAAACCATAAAATAGACTATCAAACTAAAATGATTTTTTTAAATAATTTAATATATTTTATCCAATCCGTAACGTAACGCGAGCAAAAAAAGTAGCGAGGCAAAAAAACTAGTGAGTTATGTTGTTTCTACCACACAAAAGGAACATGATTAGATAATAAATATTAGCACAATAAATATTAAATTGAAACTTTTTACCTTGATCATTAAAAAATTAATAATTAAAATCACATTATCATATTTCGTGGTATCAAGATGATCGAACCATCAAAATAGTTTTATCATAATTTTAGGTGATCGGCTCAAGACACAACCAGGTTGCTTTCTTGAGACAATACGCGTCATGCGTAGAATTTATCCGATGCAACGAATAAAAATTATATTGCACGCCATCTTAGGGATACAACAAGCTCAATTACCTTGCCGTGTCTTAACAAGTTTGCACTACTTATAAGACTTGAAACTCTAAATAAAATTTAGTACCATTTTTACCCAAAAAATAAAACAAATAAACATTATATGGCTTTATAGTGGGGGATTAAAGAACACAAAGAAATGAAGAATTATTTTTCTTCACTAGAAAATACTTGTTGCACTTTTTCTCTCTAATAAGCAAGGATATATTATTATCTTAGTGAAGCTTTTTTTTTGTTGTAGCTATATATACATCAACTGGCAAGAGCCATTTATATAGAAACAAAAAGAGTCCGTTCGACACTTTGAATTAATAAAACAAATTAAATGATTTTTAAAAGAAAAAACATTTGTTTTTAGTATGCAATTTAAAGCATTTGATTGTTTTGAAACGAGTTATGCATAACTTGCATGGTCGTTTCAAAACGATCATGGTACTATTTCTAAATAATACTTTGAAACATTTTTTTCTAATATTTTATAAAAAATATACCAACAAGTTATCTAAAATATAAAGAACTCGGACAAACCCATGAACTATGCTTGTCAATCCGAGGTCACATCAATTTCCTTCTCTTAAGATATGACTTATATGACCTTTTTTTTTAGCCCCGAATGATAAATCAACAATGAACCGAGCTCACCCTTTTGCTAAGCACATTAGCCAACACCTCATAATCTAATTCGGGTTACACTTGAGAGCTCTCAATAGTGTAGTGGCCTAAAGTGAGAAAGTAGAGAGAGATACTCTCCTCTAAGGGAGAACTTTCCCTCATGTCCGGTCGGTGCTACTACCGTGTCTTCTCGCTCTTTTAACTTCTATTTCTCTCTCTTTTTGTGCCTCTCCCTTGTTCCTTGTTGTTACTCGTTCACTATTCTCCTCTCTCCCTACCCGATTCCCTCTACTCTCCACCCTTTCTTTCGGTTGTTTCATGGCTAAGAAGAAGAAGAAATCTGGTTCCAAAACTATAAAAGCAAGTGTGATAAGAGATTTAGATGATCCGAGTGTTGGCTCTAGCTACCCCGCTTGGTCTTCTTTCTCCCTTATCCGGTGTGGTTACTTGTTCCTAAATCTGGATCTTCCAAAATTATGGTCGACGGGTCAAAATAGCTTGCTCAACCTGTTCCATTTGACCATGTGAAGGTTAAAAGATTGCTCGAGTGATGAAGATTCAGCCTTTAAAGATGATAGCTTGGAAGGTTCACATCCGGATGAAAACTATGGCTCATACTCAAAATTTTTGAAGGCTCATTCTCCCGACCCTAGAGGTCGTTGAGGCAAGGAATCAGCCAAGTGTTGATGAATAAGTCGATTGGAAAGATGATTTCAAAGTTGGGTAAGCTTCCAAAAAGTCCAATTTCACAAATGGCAACTCGTTGGCACTTATTTTCCACTACCGAGAGACAATGTTATTCCGATTACGGATACTACTCAAACTCGGCTTCTTTCTCGACTTGAATAGTGGGCATATTTTTGATGTTGTGGCTAGAAATGAATCAAAAGATGCTGCCTCTCCTCCTACTTGGAACGGTTTTTCCGTACCGAGAGACGGACCTAGCTTTCGACCTATTACCAATCTAGGTAATTTCAAGCCCCATTCTAGAAAATGGAGAGGTTTATTTGCTAATAATCATAGTGTTGAATTATGTCCAAAGCTTACTCATTTTTCTGCCATTACCGATACTAAAACTTGCATATTGCTTAATGATGACCCGAGATGTGAAGTATAGAAGTATTGTTTGGTTGGGAATGTTGTCGAGAAATCTTCGAGATTTAGGGCCCAAAATGGGATTATTGCTAACACATAGAAATGTGAGGCTTCATTATCTATTCATGACTCGAGTTGGTTGGTTTATAAGTTTTCCTCGGAGGAGGATAAATTATACGTGTTAAATGGAGGTTCGTACTTAATCTTTAGTCCGCCTTTGCTTTTGAGGCCTATGCTTGGAGTTTTTTATTTTTTGAGCGAGGAGATGTCGATGGTGCCGGTTTGGTAAAGTTTTCAAATCTTTTTCTTAAATGTTGGTCCACTTTGTGTCTCTCAAAAATTGCTGGCTTGCTTGGTAAACCAATTCGGTGTGATAGATTGATTGCCTCTATGGATCGGATTTCTTATGCGAAGGTTTTGGTTAAGCTAAACATTATGGAGGAATTGTCGAAAGTGGTAAAAATTGGGTTATCGAATGGTTCCATTCTTCTTCGACTTGTTGTCTACGAAACTCTACCTACTCATTGCAAGGTTTACCATATTTTAGGGCACTCTACCGCTTCTTGTGATAAGCGATCGATCGATGTGAATCCGGATAATGAAAGGGTCGTAAATGAGGTAGAGCATACGGATCGAGCCAAGGGTGAGTGTGTTTCGTAAGTCGGGAACTGTCATGCATCGTTACGAACACCATTGTGTTATCGATGGAAAATCATTTTGACCTTATGTGTTCGACGGTAGCTACGCTTACGGTACGTGGGAGACAATCGAAGTGAAGCCAAAGCTAAGTCCCGACAAAACTACCAAGCTCGAGCATCGACGGAATACTCCTACTCAACCTTGGTAGAACGGGTAAGCTCGAAGCTTGACGGGAAAATCGAGCAATTCTTGGCCCCGAATCCGATGCTAAGTAAGGAAAGGTAAAGCCGTTGAAGGCTGGTCAAGATAATATGGGGGTTAGCTCGAGCCGAGTGCTTGCTATGAGGGCGGTTGGAGAGGATCCGGTTGGCCGGGGTGGGCTAGACGGTCCATGTGTTGCGGCTGTCGAGCATAAATGGTAGAAACAATGTTTGTTGTACATGAAAGAAAGATGATGTATTTGTTATCGAAAGTGAAGCTAAGGTGGATATGGCGAGTCATGGTTATTAAAGTAGAGCAATCAACTAATGATTTTATTGAACGCTCTCAAAGGGTGACCACTAAAAGGAGTAGAAGTGCTAAAAAGAGTGTTATGGGGGTTCCTATCACCTCAACGGCTATATATTGATTTTCACTTAGAATGTTAGAGGTTTAAATAGTCCCCTAAAGCGGCATGAGGTTGTTGGCCTCATGAGAAAGAAGAAGATGGATGTTTGTACTTTTTTTGAAACCAAGCTTAGTCTTTCCAAACTTACACAAATGCATAAGGTTCGGTTTAAGCGAGTGAAGGTTTATTTTCAATACGACTATGGCCTCCAATGCCCGTATTGCTCTTTTTAGAATCCGGATGCTATTTTGATTGATCTCCTAGATGTTTCGGTAAAAGGCTGAATGTCAAGATCGGTAGCCTTGTCCATCGGATGGGATTTAATGCTACTTTTGTGTATGGTTACAATACAATTATTCAAAAACGGGAGTTATAGGATGATCTTTATAGATGGAACCTCAATTATCCTTGGATTGTTCTTAGGGATTTCAACTCGATCCTCTCACAAGATGACAAGAACAATGGTGTAACGATATCTAGCTATGAGACTTCGAACTTCCATTCATGTTGCTTAGATCTTGGTCTTAACAACCTCAACTATACGGAAAGTCACTTCGGATGGAATAATGACAATGTTTGGACTAAGATTGATAGAGTTTTAGCCAACCCTCATTGGTCTACAATACGACGACTCTGTTTTTGTCCGTTTTAGCCCGTCGGGAGCTTTCTCGGACCATGCTCAAGCATCGGTTCGGTTGGCTAACCGAGTCCCTCCCGGCCATAAATGCTTCAAATTTTTCAATATGTGGGCTAATCATGAGGGCTTTCTCCAAGCTGTTGAACAACATTGGCATTGTGATTCTAGGGGTAGCCCTATATATGTCTTGTGCGGGAAGTTGAAGACTTTGAAGAGGCCTTTGAAAAATCTAAATAAGCTTCATTTTAGCCATATTTTCGAAAGGGTTGCTCGAGCAATTGACGACCTTGAGCATCACCGGCGAGCTTTTCATAATGACGGGGATAACACCCTCCTTCTAGAGCAAGAAAGGCTATTGAGGCTGAATTCGTTTGATCTAAAGTCGGCGGAAAAGATGTTCTTTGGACAAAAACTAAAATGCAAGTTTCTTAAGGATAATGATAGGGGCGTACGATTCTTCCATACTTTTATGAGCCAAAGCCATAAAAGGAACTTCATTACGGCCATCCAAAGAAATAATTGGCAATTTACCACTTCTCTTAATGTCGTAGGGGTATTTTTGTTGACTATTATAGGAATCTACTTGGTTCATCTAGCGACACTCTTCCTTTTGATGTGGAGGTTATTGCTAGTAGGCCTTATCTTGCTCCTAGTGATCTAATATCTTGTTAGCCTCGGTCACCAATGAGCACATTAAGGCGACTTTGTTTGGGATTGATAATGATAAAGCCTCGGGGCCGAATGGGTATTCTTCATTGTTTTTCAAGAAAGCTTAGGATATTGTTAGTGCTGATTTTTGTGTTACGAGTGAAGGATTTCTTTGCCTTTGGGAGACTCTTCAAACAAGTCAATCATTCCGTTATTGCCTTGGTTCCCAAATCAACTAATGCCTCATCACCTTCGGACTTTAGACAAATATCCTACCGCAATGTTATGTATAAAGTGATTTTCAAGATTCTCTCTTCCAAGTTAGCTCGAGCTTTATGTGATATTATAAGTCCTATGTAGAATGCTTTCTTAGGAGGGAGGAAGATTTCGGATAATATTCACTTGTACCGAAGCTTCGCGGCGAGTATGGTAGGAAGAGGGCTTCCTCGAGATGTCTTTTGAAGGTTGATTTTAAGAAAGCTTTTGATTCGATGCGATGGCCCTTATTGAGAGATCTCCTTTTGCAGCTTGGTTTTTCAAATGCCTTTATACGGTTGGTTATGACTTGTATAGAGTCTTCCTCTTACTTAATTGCTTGTGAATGGTGACCTTTTTGGTTTCTTTCCACGCAAAAGGGGAATCGAGCGGGGTGACCCCCTTTCCTCATATCTCTTCATAGCATGTATGAAATACTTTTCTCGTATGCTTATGAATACATTTGCTAGTGCTGATTTCAAGTTTCATCCAAAATATGAGGTTCGGCGGATTAGCCACATTGCTTTTGCGAGATGATGTTATGCTTCTTTGTCGAGGAGATAGATCATCAATTCAATGTTTATCTCAACAGTCGAGTACTTTCGGTAGAACCTCTAGGCTTGCTATTAATACTCGTTAAATCTTCTATTTATTTTGAGGGGGTTAGAAACGACTTAAAGCTAGTTCTCCTATAGGATACGGGGTTCACTAAAAGTACCTTTTCATTTTGATATCCGAGGGTTCCTTTAAGTCCTCGTAAGCTGCTGGCTAGTCGGTTTTTACCTTTACTTGCGAGTTTGGAATCGGTTGTCCAATCCTCGGATGGGGAAGCATCTCTCTTATGTTGGTCGACCTAGAGCTACTACGATCGATCTTGGTCGGTACGATTCAATTTTAGCTTACTATTTTTCCTATCCTGGCTATAGTCTTCTCTTGTATCACTAGTATTTGCGGGAATTTCCTTTGGACTGGGGATGTGAGCAATTGTCATTCGAGCTTTGGTTGCATGGAAGCAGCTACTGTTACCCAAATAAGGAAGGGGGTATGGGTTTATATGACTTAAAAACCCTTAATTCTTGCTTCCTTGGCAAGCGACTTTGGGATATCCATCTCAAAGCTGATTCAATTTGGATTCAATGGGTCCATCACTTATACTTACAAGATCAAATGGTGTGGGATGTCCAAGCACACGGGAATGCTTCGCCCTTGTGAAAAGCGATTATATCCATAAGGGACTAGCTTGTTGAGAAATTTGAGGATAGAGATCGGGTGGTTGAAATAATGAGGAATTGGAGCCAAGGCGGATTCTCTCGTAATGCTTATGAAAATCTTAGACCTATAGGTGTGATGGTCAATTGGATCGGGGAGTTTGGGAACCGTGGGCCTTCGCTGAGGCATGTGTTTGTGTAATGGCTAGTGGCAAAAGGAAAGCTAAAAACTATTGATTGCCTCAACTTTATCATGGAAGATACAAACTATGCTCTTTGTAGGCTTGATCTAGAATCACATCGCCATCTATTCTTTGAGTGTACTTGGACAAGCTGGTTTGTGGGCTAAGGTTAGACAATGGTTGAGAATTAAAAGAAAATGTCTACACTAACAACTACCATTAGGGGCCTTTCCATCCGAAGGAATAATTTGGAAGCTAGGATGCGAAGTGTCTCTTTGGGAATCACGGTGTACCTTATTTGGAAGGCGAGGAACAGGATAAATTTTTATGGTACCCCTCGACCGTGTATTCGGGAAGTTCCAAGTTCTCTTCTACATGACTTTTCACTTTTATGAGCGGGATCATACCATCTTGAATGTTGGCTAATGGGCTCGGCTAATGGGTTCTTTTGTTCGAGGATTTAGAGGTCTGCTAGTGTTGGGTTTGACGGTTTGGCTTCGAAGCTTTACTGGAGCTAGCCTCCTTAAGGTTTTGTGCTTGTGTTTGGTCTAGTTGCCGAGGTGGATTTTTCATTTTGGGCTTGTCTCCTCGATTTTTGATTTTGTGTAGCTTTTATTGCTCGTTGTTCTCGCTGTCGTTGCTTCTTGGCTTTGGTCGGTAATTGCTTTGTAGTTGTTGGATCATTCTTTATGATCTCTTCTCGCTAATTTCGTTTGCTATAGAGCCCTTATACATGGTTCCGATTAGCTAGAACAATTATTTCTTATTGGTTTTTCTTGGAATCCTTAACGTCGGATTCCTTGAACAACCTTTTGTATCTAGCTTCTTTTGCTTTTGGTTTCTTGGGATCTTGTTCCCAAATTCATGTATATCTTGTATATGCTACTCTTGCTGGTTTCCGGCATTGTTTCCTTTGATTTATATACTTACATTTAGATCAAAAAAATTCGAGGTTACACTTGATGCCAACTCTTATTCTAAGCAATTTGTAGATCATGTGACCATAAAACGGGATATTCCAAATAACTTCTATATCCGTGTATCAGTCCGAATCAAATAACGGGATATTATTTTCTTAACAAGATATTACAAATATATTCTCAATACATGTGAATATCTATTAGATAGACTTGGATGTGTTAAAAAATATATATGTATACATATATTTGGATGCGTGGAGATACATTTGAGATAAAAATCTAATTATCTTTTTTTAATAAGGAGTTGTAAATATAATTTTATTTGTTCATGAAAAAAATGTCGAGCATCTTAGTAATTTTAAACGAAACAAGGCTCTAAACATAATTTTTAAAATGTCATGGGTTTGGTTATGAAAATATCGAGCACCTTATTATTTTCTTAAAAATAGGGTTTTAAATTTTATGGAATTGAGTACAAAAATAGTAAGCAAGTTACTAATATTTTGACAATTAAGGTGCTATATTGTAACTATAAAAATTATCGACGCACAAAAAACACATAATAAAATCATAGGTCGGAATCCAAAGGTTCTTACGAGTCTCTAAGTTTACTCTCCTTACTCGCTCTATTTTATTCTTGTTGGTTCAAAGACGATCTTAATGGATATACATGTGTATGTACCTAAAACCTATATTTTAGATCTCAATAATAACAAATTATCGTCTAATTTAAAGGTAATTTAGAAATGTGAACGTGTTAATGTTAATTGTTACTTTTTGTTATTACAATAGACGAAAATCTATGCAATCTCAATTTTGAATGTCAATCAAGCTATATGATTTAAAGTTTATGTAATGCTAAAACTTTGAGAATTGTCTTGTGGATATCATCCAACACATCCGGATGGTTGCTTTATAACCATATAACTCCCCCACATAGGTATGGCAATGAGCCGGGCTTATTA